AAGTATTTTAAAAAGCAGAAACCAACTTTGGCTCCAAATCTCTCTGCCCCAAGCAAGACCTAGCCCCATACAGATGCAGATGTAAAACCATCAGAAAGTTGAAGCCAGAGCAATCAAGAAGACAAAGAGAAAATCTGCATGCCCCACCCAAACTCTAGGAGTCATTAGCCCCATCACCTGGGAAGCAGGATATGATAATCGGATTAAACCACAGATATCAAGGCCTAGAAAAACACTCAGAAATAGTCTCAAAGTTCATGCCACAGGAACAGGAAACTATTCCAAACAGGGCTAGAGGGGGTATAAAAAACCTTCTACCCATGTGCTCAGTCTCTTTCTTCTCCTCTGCTCCTTCTTGCAAGGACCATCTTTCTTCTGCAATAAACTGTAACCTTCTTCCCAAAGCAGTCACCATGTTTGCTTATTTATTCCCGGCTTGGATGAACCAGGATGAAGACTTTACTTCTATCAACAGACATAATCAACGAGAACCCGACCCATCAACCATAGTTCTTCCTTTCTCCTCAGCACAGCAGGGAAGGTCAACTCAAAGGACCAACACCGCAGCCAGAAAACCCATGAATTTACCCAGCAAGGCCGCAATTGGGTTATTGACGTGCAATCTGCAGAAAACACTATCGAAATGATTCACACTAATGTTATTTAGCTGCAATACTTCCGTAATAAAAGGAATCAATGAAAGAGAGAAAAGACCTGTCCGGGGATTTGATTTTCTCATTTTAATGGCATACTTATTTACTCCCGCCAATCCTCCGATCGGATTTTCATTACACCACCCTGCGCTGTAAGTGGACTGGTATTGATAGGACCTGCTGACTTCAGCTGGCTTCCTGAGGGCACAAATTAAAAATAACTCATATTCGGTGACAAGGTTGCGTGCTAAATACCTGCCCCTGTTAACAGGCATGCTGTTATTTGAGAACGAGCAAAACCCAGGAGCCCTTATACAAATATTTTTCCAAAGCTGATTTACAACAGCAAATCTTTAATCTGCAAGCTCAGGGCCAGGTTATTCTAGTGATTAAGGCACCAGGGTAGAAACCAAGCGATGGCAAATTCTAGTCTTGCCTTAGGCATGAAAGCTGGCTGGGTGACTTTGAGTCAACCACCAGGAGACAGTGAGTTCTAGTTTCATCTTAGGCATGAGAGCTGGCTAGGTGACTTTGGGTCAATCACCAGGAGATGGTGAGTTCTAGTCCTGCTTTATGCACAAAAGTCGGCTGGGTGACTTTTGGTCAATCAACAGGAGTCTGTGAGTTCTAGTCCCGCTTTAGCCATGAAAGCCAGCTGGGTGACTTTGGGCCAGTCCCTCTCTCTCAGCTCAACCCACCTCACAAGTTTGTTGTGGGGAAAATAAGAGGAGGAAGGAGTACCATATTAGGTATGTTCTCCACCCTGAGTTATTTATAACAGTAATAAAAGTGGGAAATAAATAAATTTATCCCCCTTCCTGTGCTGACCAGCAACACATTAACTAGGTTAGCTAATGACTGAGTAGCATCCATTGCACACCCTATTGAAAAATTTTAATTGTTTTTTTTGTTTTGTCAGTTTAGCATGTTGGCCAAACTTCGCTCGGTGGATTCATGTGAACTTTAAAGGTATCCTCCCCGAAAATGGGTTGCTTCAGCAGCCAATGATTCCCAGGTTTTGGTCTGGAGGGATGAGGATCCCCAAGCAGCACTGTTGAGAGTAGCCCCCTTCCTGGGGGGTGCACTGGTGGGGGGTGCCCTGGTTGGGATGCTAAACCAGGATCCTCCAGGATGAACCTACCACCTTTCGGAGTTGGTACAGATGCAAAAGAGATGTGGGGGAGCATAGAGACTCAAGGCCAAGTTCTCTGGACAATGGGTAGGAGGCACCTTGGAAAAGGGTTCACAGCTGCCATTGAAACTCCTCCAGGAATGGTCCTGGAGGAAGCCTCCAGGGAGGAGGAGGAGTCTGGGGCACCGAGGGTGGGTTTTTTCAGATTTTATTGTGCTTATGAGTCGTCCGGAGTTGTGTTCTCATGATCAAATCTTTCCAATCGATGGGCAGGTTAGATCTGTGGCTTTCATTTTGTCCCCAATCAATCAATCAATCAATCAATCAAAGAATAGCGCTGGAAGGGACATTGGAGGTCATCTAGTCCAACCCCCTGCTCAGGCAGGAGACCCTATATCATTTAAGACAAACGGCTGTCCAGTCTGTTCTTGAAAACCTCCAGTCATGGAGCAGTGATGAGGCCTTGGGCTTTCATCAGCTGCAGGCTCGCTTTTCAGCAATGCTCAGATGCAGGATGCGCATGATCCCATGGAAGTCAAACCGGTCAAGATGGCGGCCGCCCCCCCCCCCCCGACATCCCGCCACACTCATGCAGCAAGGATATTCGATCAGTGTTCATTCCAATTCCAGGGAAGCAAACCTCCCTCGGGGACGGGTGATGAGCCCCTCGGGCTTGGGACGATGGACGCGGCTCCCCTCCGCTGAGGCTTCGGGCCCAGAAGCCGACCGAGACGCTTCCGCGCGTCTCCATGGCGACGCCGAGTCCAAAGTCCTTCGCTTCCGGCTTCCTGAGGGAAACATCCGGGCCGTGGCCATCCATCCATCCATCCCAAGGAGCGGCCATAGAGTTCTGAAAGACTGGTGACTAGCCTCTCTTGTGACGTCACTCTCCTCCCGGTCCGCCCTGACGCGGGGAGTAAACCACAGAGGCGCGCCGTCGGAGGCTAGAGCGGGCACTCAGGTCGGAAGATTCTGATTGGCTCCCCGGCTCCCGTTGACGGGTGGAGAGCCAAGATGGCTGTGGCGGAGGTGCAGCAGCTTCAAAGCCGCCTCGATGCCTTGGAGGAGCGGATGTTCGGGGCCCCCGCAGGAGCCGCGTCTGCGGGGGGCACCCGGAAAGTAAGTGCTGGGGGTGAGGGGGGGCGTCTCCTCCATCGTGGGGTGCAGGTATCACAAAACCCATCATCCCCTGGCAGCCGCTGGTTGAGCTCTGCTGGCCCCTGGAGTGTATTGTGAGGTGCGGGGCAACCAAGGAAAGAGAGAGGCACTGCGTTTTATTTTATTTTTATTTTTTATTCTTTTAAACTGACACATTTCATGTCTCTGTTCCCACGACGACACGTATAAACTGGGGAAACGTCAGAAAGGGGGTTCACTGCCCGGGTGCACTAACCTCCATCTAGGTCTGGCGTGGGAACAGCTGGTCTGTCAGTTGAACGAGGAATTTCCTTCCCCCCCCCCCGTGCCAAAAATGACAATTTTGGCCTCTGAATATTGCCCAAAGGACAACAGTTCCCATCCTGCACAACTGTTGCCAGGCTTCCTGGGCAGAGAATAGGATCTGAAGTCTTTTTTTTTTTTAGTTTGTTTCTGGCTATTTTCTTTTTGAGCTTTTCAGAAAAAGTGAATCTGACTAAAATTCTCCACTTTGGAATATCTTTATCTTCCTTGCCTTCATTTAGGTAAATGTGCCCTGTATGTGTAGTGTGCATGTGTGTGTAATAATTATATTAAATATTATTATAACAGTAAAAACTAATGCAAACGGGAGGGAAGAAGAATGAAAAGAGTAGAAAGTGCAGAAAAGAATGCAAAGGGGAAAATTGAGAAATTCAAAAGAAAAAAAAGCCTAACAATATGGTAAAGAAAAATATAAAGAAATAACTTCCTGCTTTCATCACAGCAAATATAGTTTTAGTATCATCTCTTAAAATACAACAAATGTATTCTCTTCTTCCCATATCCCATCTCTTGTCTATTAACAAATACTTAAGCATTGTCATTGTCAAAAATCCATTAAAAGTAATCAGAGAGAACAACATACCTATTTTAACCTTGATCAAAACTAAGTCAACTTTATGTTTCTTCCTTTTACTTCTAAACCATCTTAATCTTTAGTCCCTTCAAACAACGTCATAAAACTTGATTTCTTTTCATTTCTTCTTTGTCCCTCCTCACAAAATCCTTGAAAACTTTAGCAAACTTCTTTTGTAAATCCTATATAGGAAAATTATCCAAGTCATTCTCTCAGTTTGTGGTTTGCATAGGTAGTCCTTGACTTACAACCATTTGTTTAGCCACCGTTTGAAGTTACAACGGCACTGAAAAAGTTACAACCAGTTCTTGTACCCATCATTACAACCATCACAGCATTCCGACAATCATGTGGTCAAAATCCAGGCATTTGGCAGACGGCAAGTATTTACAGTTGTTGCAGCATCTCATGGTCACATAATCACCATTTGACACCTTCCTTGCCTGTTTCCAACAATTAAAGTCAATGGGAGGATGGATTTTCTAAATGACCACATGATTCTCTTAATACCTGGGGTGATTCGCTTAACAATTGTAGAAAAAAATCATAAAATCAGGTGCAACTTAATAATTGCCTTGCTTAGCAATAGAAATTCTGGTCCCAATTATTGTAAGTCAAGGACTATCTGTATATATCCCTTTTAAGACATCAGCTGGTTTCTTTTTTATGTCCACTGTAACCACTTTTTCCATGTCATTCTTGTATCCTCTCATTTTTAAATCCACTCTCAATCTTGTCGGTTAGGACATGTTCCTCTTTCATGACATCTTTTAGACACAAGTTAGTCTATAGAGGAAGACCCTATGAAAATTAACTTCTGGGTCCATTGTTCAAAAATATCCTTCAGTGTATCCAGTGTTGAAATATTTTGCTCAAATTCTGTAATTTTAAATCGAGTTCTTCTCCTTTAATTGTATTCTTTAGTTCCCTCTAGTGTCCGCTGTTTAGTAAAGTACCTTTTCATTTATTACTCATTATTCAAAGTCAGTTTAAAGCAGTGTTTTTTTAAATTTGGCAACTTTAAGACAGGTGGACAAATGCTAGCCGGAGAATTCTGGGGGTTGAAATCCACTCATCTTAAAACTGCCAATTTTAAAAAAACACTCAAAGCAACCTGTTTGTGGCTTTTTTTTTTCCTATCTCCAGTTCTGAATAAATGGCCTTTCCCCCCTCTAGATAGCAGATGGCTTAGGCAAAGTTCAAGGTGCCTTGGGAAACATTGCAAGCAAAAGGGAGAGAGTTAAAATTCTCTTCAAAAAAAGTAAGTGGTTTTCTTTTTTTTCTAAAACAAAATGCTGCTGTGTCCTATCAACTGTCTTAAAAGAGGTCTTATAATTGCTAAATGATGACAAAGTCTGTTTATAAATTGATGAAAGTTTCCAAATTGGTTTTTTTAATGTAATGTGCCCTTTGCCCACAATCGATGGCAAAGAAATTCATAAATATGAATTTATGAATTTCTATAACATTGGTTTTTGGAACCTTTTGATGATTTTATTTTTATTTCACCATATTGGCTGCCCAGCGTCTGTTGGGAGCTGCCTAGTAATGTAACTAAATGAACATTGTACGATCCTCCTTTTTTTCCTTTACAGATAGTCCTTGACTTACAACAGCTCGTTTAGTGACCGTTCGAAGTTACAGCAGCACTGAAAAAAGTGACTTATGACCATTTTTCATACTTGAGACCGTTGCAGCATCCTCGTGGTCATGTGATCAAAATTCAGACGCTTGGCAACTGACTCATATTTATGACGGTTGCAGTGTCCTGGGGTCACGTGATCCCGTTTTGTGACCTGACAGGCAAAGTCAGTGGGGGAGCTGCATTCACTTAACAATCTGGGTGACTAACTTATCAACTGCAGTGATTCACTTAACAACGGTGACCAGAAAAGTCATAAAACTCACTTAAGAAGTGTCTCACTTAGCCACAGAAAATTTGGGCTCAGTTGTCGTAAGTCAAGGATTATCTATATAGAGAAATGGGAACAAAAGAGCATAGGAATGTACAGTTCAATCCTTTTAATCATCCAGCATATGCTTCTATCATTGCTGCAGTCTAAAATTCTAATTCTATTTTATGTTGTTCTTCCTCTTAAGTTGAAGACATCCTAAAATACCTGGATCCTCAGTACATTGATCGAATGGCTGTGCCAGATGCCATGAAGCTACAGTTCATCTTGGCAGGTAGATCTATTTTTGGTCACCACGATGTAAAAAAGATGTTGAGACTCTAGAAAGAGTGCAGAGAAGAGCAACAAAGATGATCAGGGGACTGGAGGCTAAAACATATAAGGAACGGTTGCTGGAATTGGGTATGTCTAGTTTAACGAAGAGAAGGACGAGGGGGGACATGATAGCAGTGTTCCAATATCTCAGGGGCTGCCCCAAAGAAAAGGGAGTCAAGCTATTCTCCAAAGCGCCTGAAGGCAGGACAAGAAGCAACGGGTGGAAACTAATCAAGGAGAGAAGCAACCTAGAACTAAGGAGAAACTTCCTGACAGAACAATTAACCAGTGGAACAATCTGCCTCCAGAAGCGGTGAATGCTCCAACACTGGAAGTTTTTAAGAAGAAACTGGACAGCCATTTGTCCGAAATGGTATAGGGTTTCCTGCCTGAGCAGGGGGTTGGACTAGATGACCTCCAAGGTCCCTTCCAACTTTATCATTATTATTATTATTATTATAGGCCCTTATATTACGGGTTTTTTAGCAGTAGATTTTCATGTATAAAATGCTTCTTGCACTAGGTTTTGGTCAGTCGCTTTAAATTGAAACGATCCGAATCCTATATGTCAAACACTGTTTTTTAGGTCATAATCCTATGCATATTTACCTGGCAATGATCCTTGTGGTACTCAGTGGTGCATAGTTCTCAACATATCAATTTTAAGCTATTTTAACGGGTTTTTTTGGCAGCCACTTGTTGATTACTTGTTAATCTGTAGGGTCCTTGGTGCTCTCTTGGTGGTTTTCTTGCAGACATTTCATGACCTAACTAGGTAAACATCATCAGTGCTAGGAGGGAATCCAGTTTGCGAAGAAGAGGAGGAGAAGGAAGAGGTGGTGGAGAAGGACTGTGGGGGCCTTGGTGCTCTCTGAGCTTAGTGGTTTTCTCGCAGACTTTTCATTACCCAGCTAGATAACATCATCAGCGCTCGTTAACCTGCTGCATCTAAGCATAGGTCACATGATCTGTTGCTACTGGACCGGCAAATAGTTTTTGCCTGACCTATGTCGTGCTTTTCCCCATCACCAGAAGAACAATCCATCGTAGCCCAAGCAGCACTTCTGGAACAGGTGAAGAGCCTGCAGCCCTATTTGGACAGCGCGCATATCAAAGGTGAGTGACTCCCTGTCCTTTATCCCTGAGAGAATCAAGATCACCTGAAGTGTTAGTAGTACCAGTTTATAAAGCCTTGGTAAGGCCACACTTGGGATACTGCGTCCAGTTTTGGTCGTCACAATATAAAAAAAGATGTTGAGACTTTGGAAAAAGTGGAGAGAAGAACAACTGGGATGATTAAACGTCTGGAGACCAAAACATATGAAGAACAGTTGCAGGAATTGGACATATCTAGTCTAGTGAAAAGAAGGACCAGGGGGCACATGATAGCAGTCTTCCAATATTTGAGGGGCTGCCTCAAAGAAGAGGGGGTCAATCTATTCTTCAAAGCAGCGTTCCCCAACTTTTCTACAGCTTTGTGGACCAGCGGTGGGGGGGGGGGAGAGAGGGGATGGTTTCGTCTGTGCGGTGGGTGAGCGTGTAACTCCATTTGCACAAGTGTGTGTGTGCGCACCTGCCACTCACACAAGTGCAAGTGGAGCTTCCTGTGTTCGTGTGCTTGCCTGCCGCCTCTGTGGCCCAGTCCCGAATGGGCCGTGGCCTGGTCCTGGAGGACACCTGCTACAAAGCACCAGAAGGCAGGACAAGAAGCAACGGATGGAAACTAATCAAGGAGAGAAGCATCCTAGAACTAAGGAGAAATTTCCTGACGGTGAGAACAATCAACCAGTGGAATGGTTTGCCTCCAGAAGTTGTGGATGCTCCATCACTGGAGATTTTTAAGAAACCTGTCTGGAATGGTATAGACTAGAATCTGCTGTTTGAACAGGGGGTTGGACTAGAAGACCTCCAAGTTCCCTTCCAATTCTTGTTATTCTGTTAGTTATGCCGAGTCCTATGGCTATTATCAGGGCTTTTTTTCTCGGAGAAAAGGTGGCGGAACTCAAACCTGGCCACGCCCTCATCAAACCCTAGGACCGCCCCTTTAGAGAACAGGAATGCAAGTAAAATTTGGGAGGGGCTATTTCCGGTGTGGGAGGGGCTATTTCCGGTGCGGCCGGCCCGGAAAAAGGTGCCGGAACGCGGTTCCGCCGCGTTCC